CCAGAGGGCATTGTGGGTAAATAAATAAATATATTGTATAGATCATTCAATAGTTTATACAAGCTTTTATCGTGAGAACAGTTCTCATGTATATGTTGTTCTCTGTACTGTCAGCAGAACAGTGTTAAAATGTATATTATGTATATTGATACATTCAGGTTATAGTTGTGCGTTTTAAATCTTGCTATATCTTCTTTACAAAAATATATTCATGTGCATTGTGTGGCTTTTATTCGGTGTTGTCTGCTCCTATTTGGATGTTATTTGTGATCATTTGAGATCATGTTCTCAGTGTAAAACATCTTGAGGCCATTGGTTAACCTCAGCACCATGACAGAGAAGCACGTGTTCATCATACTAGTAGTAGAGCAAGGTCATAGGTCAGGTTAAGACTATACTTTCAGGGATCATTTCTATAGTTTTTGACTTGAGAAATGTGTTTCTAAAATGTTTGGTCTCGCTAACCACGATGATGAGTTGGTGATACTCTTTCCTGAGCGCGAAGCGGGCGGACAGTCATGATTTAGTTCATATGCTGTCTGTCTTTGATGACCGTTCATTGTCTCCTCTGGGGACACTGAGGGAAGGAGTATGATCAGAGTGGTACTGCAATACTGTTAATAACAAATCTAGTATCACATAGAATAACTGTTAGATTAGTTGTGTACATAGCTGTTGTATATTCTTATTTTTTAATGTATGATACTTTAAAACTTCATTTCAGTGGGAGACACTGCGTTTTGCTCCACTCCATTTATTAATTACTATATTATTAATCTATTTATTGTTCCCTGTAGTTGCTAGTTAATAGAATAAACAACCCAAAGTAGCTAAAATTAACTAACTGTCTTAATCTCATATGAATATTTCTTAAATATGTCTTGAATCAGTAATAATTAAAAGCTAAAACGTTACTCCAGCTGTAGGATAAATGTTGTGGGGAGATGTTTTGGTAATGACATAACTCCCTGAAAAGAGGTATTCTGCATTTAGTGAGTACTTTTTAAACTAAGTATAAGTACTAACTCATGATTTTGAATGCAGTATTTTTATAATCTGGTATTGGTACTTCCTGCATTGACTCCATTATTAAACATCGTATGGCAACAGTCAAAAGTGGAACCACTGACTTTACTTTAAACAGAATTATAGACATGTTGCATTGCAACTACATCTCCCCCCACAACATGTATCTTACAGCATTTTTTAGCTTTAATAATAACAACTTAAATGCGTGGACATTCTCTCCAGTATATTCTATGTAAAACCGATGGAAACTATGCGGTTAAGTAACGTTATTCCCCCACACTTGAGTCTTTTAGAAATAGAAGTAGCCTACACATGTGGGTTTGTCAGCTGAGCTTTTTTTGTTGGTAGTAGGCGTGTTTTTAGTCCACCTGCCAAGAAGGCCGCTGGGACAAATTCCACTCGGCTGTGCCTGGAGAAACATTCAGAAGCTTCATGTGGAGCAGAGGAGAGGAATTATTTGGACAACTTGTGTTTTTTAAAAGCTTTTCTTTTTGGACCCTCTTGGAGTTTTAAATTGCAATTGTATAAACTGGACAATTTAAGTTATTGCAGTGTTTGTTGGCCCGGAGAAAACATGACACGCACAAATGATGTTTAACATTTCTGCAGACGGAGGTTCATTTTCTAAAAACTTAGAGGATTTTGACTCTATTCGCAGCGTTCTCCTTTACAGGTCAGTAAAGTATGAGTGCTTTTATTTTAAAGCATGCTGGTGTTTGGTCAGAGGTGCAGAAGTTTGCTAAATACCTGAGGGGATTTTTTAAAAAAAGCCTCGTGCAAGTCTACAGGGAGGTGGAGAGAAAGGGGGCAACAAAACAAAAGTGTAAATGTGCTTTTATTTTGAAATTCAGTGGCCGAAGGCACCCAAGGGTCCTTTATTTTATTTAATATCATGTCGGTGTTTATTTCCAAACGGTTACACTTTAATAAAATGTCCCTGTAACTATAATATGAGCGGGTATGTGGTGTTGTCTGTGTGGTTGCTGCATTATTTAACGTGGACGAGAGTCTCGTGCTGCCAGGTAGCAAGAAGAGTCACCCAAAGTTTCTGCGTTGTTATGGGCAACTGCGCCGTCCACCAATCAGATGGACCCGTTCTCGTCACGTGAACACACGGTCGTCTGCGCTTCTTCCAACATGGCGAGCGAGCGTCGCCGGCCGTTTCTTTGGATGCTTTTTTAAAGTTAACCTTTTAGCTGCGAACTCCGGAAATAATAAACACGTCGCGTGAACAAAATGGCCTTTGCGAACGCGCGCACGTGTACCGAAGAAACTCTGTGTAGCGGTCGGGAGGAAGAAGATGGTGGCGAGCACGACACCGACCGCGACTCCACATCATCGAGTGTCAACAGCTCCGACTACTCTGAGTAAGAAGATAGTTTGACTCCGCGCGACTAGTAAACAAACAAACCCTCTCCGCACGTGCACGTGGTAATGTGAGACCACGTGGAGCTACTGAAGGTTGTGCGTGAGATAAAGTCGAACTGGAAAAATTTGTGCTGTAACTTGACACTTAAAACAGTCACTATGATGGTGTACATTGCAGATATAAAACGCTTTCGATTCATCCAGTTTATTACACATTTAATGCCTTTTTCAATATAAGTGCTTCTAAATGTCAGGCAGCGTCATCCCATCCACTCTCTCCTTGTGCTTTTCATAGCTTTTTAGGGAGTGTTCTCAATTTGGGAGGTAAACCTCAAATAATTGTATGCTGCTTGTCATCCTCAGTAGATTTATGGATATCACGTCCAAGCTGCTACCGCAGGTATAAAAAGAGAGAAACCAAAGATATCTCCTTTTTAGTCCCACCCTTTTGGTCAACCATGTGATTACGCTTTAAAAACAACAACATATAGTAGTTTTTACTGTAGGCTTATAAACACATGCAATAACTGATACTGTAAAAGTAAATAACAAAAGAAAAAAACTGTATTTGACTCAGTATTGGGATACAAGTTTGGTACAAAAAATGCCCCAAAAGCTTAAACTGTGCTAAATAATAAATGATTATTAATGTGGATACGATGGCAAGTAGAGGCATTTATTGTACATGTCAGCCTTATCACTATCTCAAGATAACCAAAATGTCAAATGATATCTAGTCACGTATCTTTATATTGATTGTCAGTGCATCTCTCCTCCTAGTCTGATACCACTGTGTCCTCTCCTCCTAGTCTTGTACCACTGTGTCCTCTCCTCCTAGTCTGATACCACTGTGTCCTCTCCTCCTAGTCTGATACCACTGTGTCCTCTCCTCCTAGTCTTGTACCACTGTGTCCTCTCCTCCTAGTCTTGTACCACTGTGCCTTTGACACTAGGTGTCTATTTTTGTTTCCCTCAGTGACCTGGAACCAGAATGGCTTGATGACATCCAGAAGAATGGTGAGCTCTTCTACCTGGAGCTGAGTGAGGGCGAAGAGGAGGCCGCGTTGGCCCAAGCCGCCGCCACCAGCCAAGGTGTGTCCACCAATCACGTTCGCTTCAGCGAGGAGGAGGCCGAGATCATCACCGAGCAAAACAAGAAGCAGCGATGCGGGTCGAGGACGAAAGGTGAGCCCGCGCTGACGAGGTTGGTCAGGATCCTGAGGAGAAAACGCCGGCCATCTCAGCGCAGAGGAGGGAAGGATGGAGGTAAAGACAACTCAACTTCATCTCCTCCGGCATCCATCCTTAAGAACCAGCCGGGTCAAAGGCAGGGGGTGACGGTTCAGCAGCAGCAGCTGAAGGAAGTGTGCGTCTACCTCAACCCTAAACGTCTTGGAGGTTCCTCAACACCTCTGTCTGACGGCGGAGGCCTTCTGGAAGCTCTGCTGGGGGTGGTGCATCGCCCGTCCTGGAGCAGAGGAAACACTGCAGTGGTCAGCCAGGAGGAGAGACTGACTGTTCATGGACTAATACCCAACAGCCCGGCCATCAAATGTGGCCAAATTCTGATCGGTAAGACTATAAATCCAACAGTTAGCTCGTATTTACTATAATACAAATCTACAAAATATCAGTTTCTTTACTTGTGTCAGCGGCCATTTTAAATACGTCACAGTATTTTCTATACAGTTTTGAAAAGGCACGTGAAGCCCTATAATACAAAAAAGTATATTCCGTCTAAGTGTAACTTTCAGCACATAGTTTCGTAGAGTGAATGAAACTCTTAAGTGCCGGTCTGGTTCTGTAAAAATATCTAATCTGTGTTTGAACGCTGGGTTTCTCTGAAGGGATTTATTTTGTTCTATCCAACGATCGGACAGCTTTCACTAGCAGACGGAGGAACTCACCACAAACGACTGCCCACATGAGTTACTGTTTAAGCCGTTATGCAGCCCGGCTCCATGCTCGAACAATTAAAGTGGTTAAATACCTGAAATAGCTCTGTTACTGAGATGGGGGTCAGGTGAAGCTCTTAAATGGCCTTTTAGTGGGTCTACTCAGCCAGGTGCACGGATCAGCAGCACATCACCATTTATACAATCAATCAAATTATTCTAAGTATGGTTCTTACTGACTATATAAGCTTTCTGTGATTTTTTTTTTTTTTTACAAACCCACATTTAATGTAAGTTCATGGTTAAATATACACCAATAATTACATTTACTATCATTACTTATTTGCTATATTGTGTTTGGCCTAGTTGAGCTATCGATGTCTGTCCTGCGTGTTCAGGTGACGTGCTGGTAGCGGTGGACGATGTGGACGTGACCTCTGAAAACATCGAGAGGGTTCTGTCCTGCATCCCAGGACCAACACAGGTCAGTGTTAGTGGTTTCCTTTAGTATCGATATTGATCAATACTGGGAGCTCCTTTTTAAAAAATTTGTAACGCCGCATTTATGTCTTTAGGATCCGGGCTCATCACAAACCAGGACGGTACAAATAGACGTTAAGTTACTTTGGCTTTGTCAAAGCTGCTAAAATGTCAATAGTCACGAAGTCACTGCTGTTTAAAATTAGAGAAATTATCCTTCAAAAAAAAATCCATAGTCTGTGCCTCAGTCGTGCATTTTCACCCAAAAAGCAGACCATCAAAAAGCAGGAATTTGCAAATGACAGAGTGCGTCTGGCTGGACGGCGAATACGGCGGATAGATGCGACTGCGGTGTGACTATTTTTTTTTTCCCGGGGCCACAGGAAGCTGTTGTGGGATTTGGAAGCTCAGCTGATTAGAAGATGTAGTCGGAAACTAAATTACATTCGAGGGAAAGAGCGACGGAAGATTTCTTTTGGGGGGGGAAATACAAGTTTCCTCTCTCAGAAAACTGGAAATAGAGTTGTGTTGGTGACAGAATGATTGTTTTGCGTGCTTGTGTGTGTGTTGGAGGATGGTTTGTCTGTGTGCCAGCCCTCCCAGATGTTACGCAGACGGTACTTATTATGTTCCGAGGAACAAATATTAGTATCAACGTTAGTCCACCATGCCCTCTGCTAACCCTCGTAGCCGAACAAGCCTCAGTTACTCCCTCACTCGTGTGCTCGAGTGCGTGTGTCCACCTATAATGACTGACATCAACGGGCTGGAATTCCAGTGAGAGCACACTCCAGTCTAACCACATCCTTGTTATTTATGATGAGAGAAAGTGCTGCAGTTAGCCCACTCAGCCTCTTTACCCAGTGACTTCTCAAATTTAGGCCTTTGCCCATTTGAAAGTTTTCACCCGTTTTTCTCCTCGTCTGAATCTGATTCCCTCAGCTCAATCTAATCGAAGCCTTTTCTCGCATCCTGCGTGAATTCAAAAATATTTACCTCTTGAGTGAACTAGTCAGAGTCACCAATTTGAAACTTACATCACATGGTTGTTCCACCACTGCTCTGCTCTTCTTTAATAATACCCCTAAAATCGGCTAAAATGGCGGGCAGCCCAGATGGAGGCGCCCGCCGGGGCGGCGTGTGGCCTGTGGTTACTGCTGACAGACCTTGGAGGGTTCTGGGAGTGATCGCTGCATTAGAAAAATACAGTTTCAACATTTTTTGACCTGGGAATACGATCCCTTCTTTCCTCTTCAACATATTTGGTAGGCACCGTATGATCGAGGACTACCCACGTTTGTTGGAAAGTAATGACCACAACACCTCATTTATTTCTTGGAGCATACCAAATGGCTTTTCTTAGGTTACTTACAGACTCGGAACAATGCTCGGGTTAGGACCTGGACCTCCACAGTTCTGCCTTCTTCTGCTGTTTTATCCTCTAAATGAGATAAGAGATAAGAGAAAACTCCTCAGACCTACTGTATTGTCTTCATAGGACATTCCCCTTGTGTCAGGGTTACGTGGCGTTATTCCTTCTAGAAATAAAACCTACAACATACCCAAATGCAGTGATGGTTGCTGGTTCAGATTAGAGATGCTGACCTCATTACGTGGATCGTGCATTGCTGCTGGTTTTTCCACATCTGGACTCTGGTTCTGATATCCTTGAATCACTGACAGGTTTCAGCCCAGTCAGCACAATGTGTATTGATATGCCACAGTAGCGTTTCTACAATGTACATTGTTTTTCGTTGTTAGAGAAATGTGTTTGCATCAATTATGTGCGAGTTTAAACAATAATAATGCGTGGTATGTAGTAGCAGTATACTGGGTCATTTGTGATGTATGGTATCTGAATTTGTGAGTTCTTTGCCGACACACTTTCGCTACTACGGGGACTTTCTAGGAATGGAAGTATAGAATGGAGAAGTGGCGTATGGAAAGTAATAAAAATAGATTCTGCATGAACGAGAGAAGATAGGCTGTCTCGTTGTCCTGCCACTGTGTCTTTGAGTAGCAGACGTCTGGTTATAATTAGTCAAACACACACACGGATCCCTGTTATTTGTTATGCTGCGGTGAGGTCTGGCTGTTGCTGTCACTTTCTCTCTGACAGTCACCGTCCTGCTATTCGCTTTTCAGCCTTTTCCTGAATCAATGTGTAATGATTGAAGTTTTTGGCAGCACGGCACACGAGCACGCCTCTATTTTCCTACGACAGACACATGAGCACTGTTAAAATGTCTTGCGAAGTATAATCATGCGGGTCCATAGTGGCTGATTTTAGAAATGAATGAACTCTGAGAAGGACTGGTAGGCAGGCTGATGCAATGAAATTACATAACAGAATAAATGTCCTTATTTTTCTCCTCTCCTCCTCCAGGTGAGGCTGACGTTGGAGACGGTGGCTCAGGGCGACGGCGGCAGTGCGAGCGACACTTCATCGGACCGTAAGACGAAGGCCTCGTCTCCTCCAGTCAGCCAGCTGGTGCGTCTGCTGTGGGGAGAGGACACCGCCGAACTTCAGATGTCCATAGGACACATCCCGCACGTTGTCATGTACCTCTCACTGAAACTGGACTCGGCATCACCGCAGGAAGAGGTCAGTTTGTGTAAAATGTGTGATGAAACACGTGTGGGTATTTAAACCACATCTGAGCCATTTTGACCAAAAGTCTCAGGAAATTAAGTCCAGGCTTCACCACACTGCTTTCTGCCCCACAAAGTCTGTGCTTATTAGTCGGTTGACACATCAAAAAGTGACCACTGCACGCAATTTTACTTGCCGCAATAAAGCGACAACAATAGTTCCATTGAGATTGAAGTCAGATGTCGAGCAGCAGAGAGAGAGACATTTAAAACGCTAGAAATGCAGTCCGAGGTCATAAAATCTCCTCTGACTCCTTTATGGTTAATGTTGGACTTAAAACAAAGAGCTTTGAAACAAAACGCAGTGTTTGCTGTGGAAAAGTAGAGTGTATTTGATCAGTCAGCAACATTCAATGCTGGAAACCCCACTCCAAAGCTACTGCAAGTTATAAATGACAAATTATGACTTATAGTGCACGTCATAATTTGTAGAAGTTTATACCGATCCCCACCAGCAGGGTGCTGCAGAACCGTCTCTGTGGCGCAATTGGTTAGCGCGTTCGGCTGTTAACCGAAAGGTTGGTGGTTCAAGCCCACCCAGGGACGTTCAGTTTTTGTTTTTAAATAAAAGATAACGTCGTGTAAATAAGTAACTTGGTGTCCGTGATCAGGGGTAAGGGTGTAACTGCTTTCTTTGCATTTAAACAGGAAAAATGTAGAAAGGTTCACAGAGTTCCTCAGTGGAAACGGGCGTGTTATTAAAGAGCAACGAGGAGGGAGCTTTGAAAGGAGCAAGCCTCTTGTGCAGTCGGTGCTGGCGGTGGAAAAACAAAAGCTAAATATTGCCATTAAATGTAACATAACTAGAACTGACCATTGTTGAGATCTAAACCCTGGATGGCCACATGTTTTTCGATCCCTTTGGAAAGATAGTGGGTCTCTGGGAAACCTGATCATGACTTTGTGGTCAATAGCACACCGACTCTGAGCAGCCGTAAAAAAAAGCTGTGTTTGAAACATTGAAGGGTTCTGATAATTGAGTGTTAAGAATGACCTCAGGTGTGCAGGAAATCCCCAAGTCCAGGAATGGAAAGCTTCCCTTGAATTGATCTGACGTGAGTCAGACTCTCTCAGTAAACTACTGCTCTGGACGGTTTCCAACGCCTGTGGACCCACTGACCGAAAAAACAGAGAGAACGGGGAGAAGTTAAGGCGCTCTGCCCTGAGCAAACCTGTCAATAAATGTTCTGTCACTTTATGCTCTTGTTCTACACTGAATCCACACATCCCTTTGGCTGTAGTGCAGCAGTTTATTAACAAAATAATATATCCTTTTTTTATTGGATCCATGCACAGGGCGGTGTTTCATATATTTTTTTATATTCACTTGTATTCAAGTGTTAATCCCACAGTGCGTGTTCTCTTGCAAACGACACTCATTTCCTGGCCGACACCTCCTCCACTGTAACCACATTTTCCCCATGGACGTCGATTGGCAGGTTAATATTTTCTTTATGGTTGTATTCACCATCTGCAATTCCAGTTTGTGTGTCTGCTCGCCAGATTTTCTTTCTTTCTTGACCCTAACAGCGGTGCAGAGTGCTGGGTTGTCTGTCATTTATTTTTTAAATGACAGTGTCGTGTATGAACGACGACTTTGATTTTCTTTAGTCCTTTGATTGCTGGGTAGCAGAAGTTGGAGAGGTTCAGCGGTGCTATTTTTGAGTCTCGGCTGTGTGAGGATTTTGTGATCCGAGCCTTTTTTTGCTTGTGTGTGTACAGACGAGATGTAACTGGTTGTTCGTCTTGTTTCTTTGTCCTGGTTGGCAAGCCTACAAGGACTCGTTCATTAATGTTTTTTATCCCCTCACTCCTCTCAGCGGCTCTTATCCGCCCTGTTTCCTTTAAAGTTTCCAGCATGCTGGGACGAATACTAATGTCCCCAAAGATTCACTGAATCTGCCCGGAGCACTCCCTCGTCTCTTGTGAAGTGCTTGTGTTTCGTCCGGGGATAAAGACTAATCACAACATAGTTTGGTTGAACACTATTTGAAAGTGCGTGCAGTAGTTTCCAGAAGAGCAACTGAGAGTTTCTGTGAGCTTCAGTCAAATTCCTGTATTTCCTGAATCTGCTTCTCTTTACTCTGGAAAGTCAAGCATGTAAAATCATCATCTTGAAAGTGGCATCTTTGTGTGAAAAAGGGTTGGGCAGTACAACTAAAACACTGATGAGGTGACAGAATAAACATCCAGTGGTTCATGTGTTGATCTTTGCTTTCCATAATTCAGAGGAGATACATTTTGGTGACTGCAGCATCCGACAGCAGATATTTCACATTTTGATGTGACATTTTTCTGTTGAGAGACTCACCAGAGTGGTTTCCTTCTGCTGGATACATCATTGACATGACACAGTTCACCAGATATTCATATGTGTGTGTTTGTGTCTGCAGGAGGAGATCTTGTACCAGTACCCCGTGTCTGAGGCATCCGGCCAGCTGAAAGGAGTGAGAGGCATCTTCCTCACTCTGTGTGACATGCTGGAGAACGTCACGGGAGGGCAAATACTCAGGTAAGGGAAGTTACTTGTGGAGGATTTAATCACCAATTTAGTTACCAACCAGATGCTTTGATTCCAACTGGTTCTTTATGAAATCCGACTATGTTCTTCCTGAAAACATAAAAAAATAATGAAAGAATCCTATTTCAAGATCTGTGAGCCTATGGGGATGTCGTCAAATGTCTTGTTTTGTCCGACCAAATGTCCAAAACCAAAAGATATTCAATCTACATCTATGTAAAACAGTGATTTCTAACAGATTTTTGACCATGATGATGCTCCTATACTTCCATATAATCGCTTGAATAGACCATACTAGTTGTATATACCACACCGTTGATACTGTAAACTGTTAGCTTTTCTCAAAATCAAGTCCACATTGTCTCTAAACCCTTTGACTCTGTCAGATGTAGTGCTAGTACTTTCAGTGCAGAGTTACGGGAATGTTTCCATCCTTTTTTCATCTCTTCCTCCCTCTGCTATTAACAAAGTACTGGCACAAGAAAGGGTGCCGTGTAAAGGCAGATATTGTTTTTTTTATAATTGGCCTTTTATGTAAAAAAAAAAATATTTTTATTGTAGCGCCCTCAAATTCCTAACTTTTCTGCCAGTTCCCCCGCTGGATGTTTTGAATATCAACACAAGCCTGGAAAAAAAAAAAGGTTTGGCGACTGGATGTTAAGAATGTAACAGTGAGGTTGTATTTACTGTATGTTAACGGCATCGTCCTCGTTGTTTTGTTCCATTTGTCACTTTGTTCTTTTGTCTCCCCTTTAGTTCTTCTCTCCTGCTCGGGAAGCAGCTGGTTCATGTGGGCTACTGGAAGGAAAGCAACAACCTGTTGGTCATCGGTCTTCCTGCTGAGAGGTGGAGGGAGGCAGCATCAAACACGCATGCTGCACTTATTATTATTACACTGTGCGGTAGCCCCGCCTCCACCACATTTGCAGAGAAACAGACAACGCAGGCATCACCCGAAAAAACAAATTGTCAAGAGATCATTTTTAACAATCAAGGTGCCGATGTTGGTGCGGTGATAAATTCTCTGAGCAGGACATGTGCCCGAGAAATTAACTATTATTTGTCGAGGAGGAAACGTATTGAAGAGCACAATCTGTAAAAACAATTTCAACGTTCACATGTGCTTCTTTTCGTCCTTTGTTGGCAGGATGAATACCTTTTCTAAGGAGCATGTGGTTGTTCATGAGATGAGTCATATTCCCCAAACTTTTCACTTTTAGTCATCAAGTCAACCTGACAAATATTCCCATTCATGCTTAAAAAGCACAGAGATTGATTTTTGAGAAACACCCACGCGTAGAAAAAACAACACTTACAAATGTTTTTGCTTCACAGCTCCTGGCAGTTAGTCCAAATATTTGATAAGATCTGCTGAAGTTTATTCACGTCTGTGTTTGACATTTTTCCATTTCGCTCCAGGGTTCCACTGCTGTATTTGCAGACGGTGGTGGGAGACGTGGTCCGGACTCTCAAAGTGATGTACGGCTCCTTAGACAAGTGAGTCGCTCTTTGCTTTCCTGTGCTCCTGCTGAGAGTGCTGGTTGAAACTTATATTGCTGAAAAATAAAAGATAATGTGTTTCACCAATTCAAAGCAAAAGTTTTCCAGCTGGATTTTACACAAAGCCTTCATTGTCTCACTCTCTTAAGTCCCTTTTCTTTGCTCTCAAATATCTTTCCCCTTCTTCCATTTCTTTATTCTTGAAATTTAATCATTGTTCTCTAGTTCTAGTTGTCATTACCTACGCCTATATTTTAAATCTTCTTTGTGTCCTCCGCAGTGCGTTCTGTAAGGTGGACCATGCTCCCAGGTTGGACCACTTCTTCTGCCTGTTCTTCCAGCAGCTCATCCAGCCGTCTCGCTTGAGGGACGGCTCCTCAGCGCCGGCCCCCGATGTCTCGGGGACCCTTTTTCTTGATGGACTGCCGGCGGTGCGATGGCTGACGCTGCCTCCTGAAATCAAGGTGTGTGTGTGTGTGTGTGTGTGTGTGTGTGTGTGTGTGTGTGTGTGTGAGTGAAGACTGGGACAATAACATTATTTATAGATCAATATTAGTCTTGTAGCATAAGTACGGTAATAACAGATATTTCAATATCATCTTGTCCACGTTTCCTCAACAATTGAAGCTATGGCGCCCTCTAGTGTCCACTGTTGAACATTACACAAAATGAAATTTTCCATGAATATATGGAATGAATGCAGGAGCAAAGACTCTAAAGAACACTACCAAAAATAGTATTTTTGTCATGATAATAATTAAATGCTGTTAAGCTTATATTTCATTTTCTCTGTCCCCAGATGGAGGTGGATACTGTTCTCTCTGATTTTGAGTCTTCTGATTTTGGAGAAATGGTGAGAAAACACCTCAGTACTGCTGTCTTGAAGCATGGATTTACTTTTTCAAAGTATGTCACCTGTTAGGGATGGACGATTGTCTTGAAAGAAAATAGCCAATTACAAATAATAAGTGTTGTTAGGCTAAAGAGTCACATCAGCGGTTCATGTTGCGTTGTGACCCCCGAAGTTACATGTCAGCTAAGCAGCTTACTGTCTTCTAGCCTCAACGGGGGAGGGTCTGGTTAAACAGCTGAGACAAAATTAGAGAGCAGGATTATTGATGCAGGAGCTAGTTAAGTAAAGTCGATGGTCATTTAACAACTTGAGTTTTCAACTTATCATCATGGCAAGCTTTGTTAAGCATTCTTATATCTTTGGTTCATTGTTATCAAGTTTTATTCCTAAAATAATAGAGATGACAACCAGTTGAATACAGACATTCATTCATTCACAATTTAATTGAATTGGTCAAACGTAAAACAATCTTCCTCCAAAGTCTGTGTATATGTTTACTGTTTTGTATTTTTATCTTTGTCCTTTCACAGTCCGAGGACTATTTTGGCCTGAGGCGTCTGTATGTAATTCTTGGCTCCTGTTTGTTCTACAAGGTAGGAATCCCAATCAAGAGAAACATACACACACACACACAGGCCTCAGTGCCGCCAGCCGTATCATATTTATATCCTCCCCTGATGGTACCACACTGTCTAGACAACAATAGAAGACCCAGCTGACAGAATATGACCTTTCATCTTTGTATTTTGAAAATGTATTTTAACGTTTTTACTACATCATCCACATGCTCACCGTCCAGTCCTACCTGATTGCCAACCACCTGCCTAAAGAGGACCTGCTGGATGTGTGCCTGTACTGCCAGCACTACTGCCTGCTGCCGCTGGCGTCTGAGCAGCGGGTGGGTCAGCTGGTCATCTGGAGGGAGGTGTTTCCCCAGCAGAGAGCTAATGGCAGCAGCACAGTGCCGGGCTACAGCCAGCCTCAAGGACGTCACTTCCTCCTCATAGTGGGATTGGTAAGGAGACGAATCACTGATTGGTGGTTGTTTTTAACTTTGTTCTCGTCGTCACTGCCCAGTATCTATTCATCGTATTATTTGTTTATCTTTGCATGTATTTCTTTATCTCTCCACCTCAGAGGCACTTCATGCAGTGTGTGCTGTTGGAGGCAGGTGGCTGTGCTTCTGCAGCTTTGGGCTCTACAGGACCCGATTGTGTTTACGTAGATCAGGTGAACTTTAGTGAACTTTACAGAAAATTCCTAACATACTATACAAACACACTGATCTTCTACTTGAACAAAAGCTAGTACGTCCTACTTCTTTTTTCTTATGGGCTTTACTTCCGCAGCTGGGAGAAATGCTAATGTGTCAAGAATTCCGCGTCTTTAGCTCCTGGAACAATAAATTCTCCCCGTCGGGGAATCGAACCCCGGTCTTCCGCGTGACAGGCGGAGATACTGTCCACTATACTAACGAGGAGGGACAATGTCCAAAAAGACAGCCATGTATTTTATATGGACAACATGGGACAATGACATACAAGCATTATGACTACATCTGACAATATTTATTAATGTTAATCTCCCTGAGATCCTCCATTGTTCAAGTGGAGTCCTATATTGTAACGAGGAGGGACAATGTCCAAAAAGACAACCATGTCTTTTATATGGACAACATAGCGCAATGACATTAGGACTACATTAAACAATATTTATTAATGGTAAAGTGCAATGAATTCTCCCTGTCGGGGAATTGAACCCTGGTCTTCTGCTCAATCAACGGAAATACTGCCCACCATAACCTTCCCTGCCTAACAAGGAAGGTCAATGTGCTAGATGACAACCTCTCCTTATAGAAGAAAATAATCTGTTGATCACTACAGTATAAAGGTACACTCTCTTACATCCTGGATCCAGGTGAAGGCCACCCTGCTGCAACTGGAGGTGTTGGAAGCAGGTATTGAGGAGCGTCTCAATGCTCCGCCGGCTCCCTGCCTGTCCTGTGCTGACTGGTTCCTTCCTGCTGCCACACCCCGCGACCGCCTGGACAGCCTGGCCTCTTCCTCCCCCGTCTTCAGCAAGCTAGCAGGGGCTGTCAAAGGCTCCTCCTCCGGGTCCAGAGGCCGTAGTCTGTTTGGGGAGAAGGCCCGGAGGTCCAGCCCCCAGAGGAGCCTGTCTGACAGTGGGAGTGAGGGACAGATGGATGCTGGGTCAGGGTCTGTTTCATCAATGGCTCCAGGCCTCAGTCCACATTCCACCCCAGACTCAGGCAGGAAGAAGCTGGGGGGGCGTCGGGACTCGCTGGGATCTGGAGGGTCGGATGGGAGTGGAGGCAGCGGAGGCCTCTTCAAGGTACACTTGTAGTCTTTTATCAATTCTAATATTTGGTCCTGTTTGGTTCTTTTCTTTGTTAACTGTTAGTTGGCAGGTTATCTAGAAAACTTAATACGGTGTGGAGATACTCGTGAGCCTCCGGCTGAGCGCTGCTGTGTTGGAGTTTTCCCCGGGGAACAAGATGGTTGCCTCTATGCAAGCTGCTGATGATAGGTCTCTGACTGTTGTGCGTTTGGTCAAGGTGAACTGGGAACGTCTGGATGAGGCCCCTGTCCGCGAGGACTTTAACTCCCACCTCCGGAAGAATTTCTCGTGCATCCCGGGGGAGGCTGTGGACATGGATTCCGAGTGGGCCATGTTCAGGGCCTCCATTGCTAGAAGCTGTGGTCGAAAAGGTAATCGGTGCCTGTCATGACGGCAACCAGAGAACTTGCTGGTAGACAGACCACAGAGGTGAAGGAGGCTGTCAAGTTGAAGAAGGAGGCCTTTGGGACTTGGCTGGCCCAGGGGTCTCTGGAAACAACAGACAGGTACCGGTTGGCCAGAAGAGCTGCAGCTGTGGCGGTTGCCGAGGCAAAAACCCGGGTGTGGGAGGAGTTCGTGGAGACCATGGAGAAGGACTTTCGGTTGTTCTGGCAAACCGTTAGACGACTCAGAAAGGGAAAGCAGGGCTTGTCTCAGGCTGTGTTCAGCAGTGGAGGAGAACTGCGAACCCGGACTGGGGATATTGTCGAGCGGTGGAAAGAACACTGAGGAACTCCTGAACCCGACCAAAACGTCCTCCGTGGAGGAGGCCGAGCTTGAAGACTCAGGGGGAAGACCCATCCATATGCCTGGCAGAGGTTGTTGAGGTGGTCAAAAAGCTCCTCAGTGGCAAGGCCCTGGGGGTGGATGAGATTCTCCCTGAGATGCAGAAGGCTCTGGACACTGTTGGGCTGTCTTGGCTGACACGTCTCTTCAGTGTCGCGTGGAGTTCGGGGACAGTGCCTGTGGAGTGGCAGACCGGGGTGGTGGTTCCCATTTTTAAAAAAGGGTGACCGGAGAGTGTGCTCAAATTATCGAGGTATCACACTGCTCAGCCTCCCTCGGAAAGTTAATTCCAGGGTGCTGGAAAGGAGGCTCCGACCGATTGTCGAACCTCGGCTTCAGGAGGAGCAATGTGGATTCTGCCCTTGCCGTAAAACAGTGGACCAGCTCTTTATCCTTGCAGGTCTGTTGGAGGGGTCATGGGAGTTTGCCCATCCAGTCTACATGTGTTTTGTGGACTTGGAGAAGGCTTACGACCATGTCCCTCTGGGAGTCCTCTTGGGGGTACTGCGGGAATACGGGGTACCTGGGTCGTTGCTGCGAGCCATACGGTATGACCAAAGTGAGAGCTGTGTCCAGATACTTGGCACAAAGTCTAGCACGTTGCCAGTGTGCGCTGGCCTCTACCAGGGCTGTCCCTTGTCACCAATCCTGTTTGTGATTTTCACGGACAGGATTTCAAGGCTTCGCCTGGAGGAGGACAGTGTCTGTTTTGGGGACCTCAGAATTGCATCCCTGCTTTTGGCAGATGATGTGGTTCTATTGGCTCCTTCAGGACGTGACATTCAACACGCATTGGGGCGGTTTGCAGCCCAGTGTGAAGCGGTCGGGATGAAAATCAGTACCTCCAAGTCTGAGGCCGTGGTTCTCTGCCGGAAAATGGTGGATTGCACCCTCCGGGTTGGGAGTGCTGTGGTGGTTCGGGCATCTGATCATGATGTCTCCTGGACGTCTCCCTTTAGAAGTTTTCCGTCTAACTGGTAAGAGGCCCCGGAGTTGACCCAGAACACGCTGGAGAGATTACATATCTCGTCTGGCCTGGGAATGCCTCAGGGTTTCCCAGGAGGAGCAAGAAAGCGTTGCTGCAAAGTCTGCTGACCCGGCCCCAGATAACCGAAAGCGGAAGGATGGATAGATGGTATTGTCATGTTTTGTCTTATGCTTTTTGCATGCTTTGACATCAGATTCCCAGAATGAAGCACCCAAACCCATTCTACCTAGGCACCCTAAAGAAGACCCTGACTGAAAGGGAGACAGAGGAGATGTACAACACCATGAAGTGGGTGATGGGAAATAATAATTAACTGCATGTATAATTAATGTTGGCTAGAACTAAAAACCTACATTTTCTTATTGTGACAGACTGACTTCAGGTGCAGAGAACACCTTGTTCCACTATGTCTTGATGGAAACGGTTCAGGGGATCTTCATCGCTCCGACTCACAGAGAGGTGGCTCAGCTCAGCGGCTCCATCCACCCACAGCTCATCCGCAACTTCCACCACTGCTGCCTCTCCATACGGGCCGCATTCCAGCAGAGCCTGCCAGCCAGGGTGAGTCAGAGTTAAATGAATATGGTCTCAACCTCATCCCTTATCTCACCTAACGACACAGTTAACACTAATCATGCTAAACAGCTTGAAATAGTAAAGTGTTGAATTTAAGGCAACCTGAAGTCACACCAAGACCAGCTTCTGTGAGTCTCAAGTCAAAAGAAGACTTTTCAGTGTAGTTAAAACCAGGCCAAAACTTGTGGTACAACTATCAATTATTTATGAATGCTTCTCGAGCAATAAATAACCCCCGTCGGGGAATCCAACCCTGGTGTTCTGCATGCAGTGTGCTGTTAGAGGCAGGTGGCTGTGCTTCTCCAGCTTTGTGCTATCCAGGACCTGATTGTGTTTACGTAGATCAGGTGAACCTTGTTGAACCGTAACGTAAATTCCAAACATACCATACAAACACACAGATCCTCTACATGACAAAAGCTAGTAAGTCCTTCTTTTGTCTTGTGGTTTTAGCTTTACTTCTGCACCCATGAGAAACGCTAATGTGCTCAAGAACAATGCGTCAGTGGCTCCTCGGGCAATAAATTCTCCCCGTCGGGGAATCGAACCCCGGTCTTCCGCGTGACAGGCGGAGATACTGTCCACTATACTAACGAGGATGGATGATGTCCATGAAGACAGACATGTCTTTTATATGGACAACAAAGGACAATGACATACAAGCATTGGGACCGCATCTAATGGTATTTATTCTCCCAATCTCCCTGAGATCCTACAATGTTCCCTTTCAATCCAGAGGTGGCAAACAGAGGTTTTTCTGTCCCCGTCCCTGGACTTTGGAATGACATACCTGAGGACATCAGGGCAGCAAACTCAATTTCGTGATAAATCACTTTTAAAAACTCACTTTTTCAAATTAGCTCTTTTTTGTTTGTTTTAATGTTTCAGTGTAGTCTATATGTCCATCCGTCCCTAAGAACGTCTACCCCATTGTCATGTAGAAAGTCGAATCTCGCCATGAGGGACATTTTGCAAATTTAGCACAAAGGTCCACTTGGACTCAAGGGTGAACTAATTACAATTTCCTACGTCTTGTAGTTTTACTTCTGCAACCAGGAGAGCTGATAAAAGAAACATGGTTAGTGGTAAAGTTGCTTCTTGGTGCAATGAATTCTCCCTGTCGGGGAATCGAACCCTGGTCTGTAGAGGTGCAACGGATCACAAAACAGTTAGGATCGTATTGTACAGCATGTCGAAAAAAGTCAAAAAAAAGTCGTACTTATTTCAACATGTTATACTAAGACTTTTTTAATATTATACTACTACACTTCATGCATGTCATCTGTTACTGGATTTAAATGAATGGCTCCGACTGCTTTAAATGCAAGAATAAAGAAAAGAAGAAGAGAATACGTCTTCTGGTTAATTACAAAATGTATGGCATGCAATAATTTGAAATGTTTTATTTCATACGGATGGTATATTTATGACATGTCATGAAGTCATACTATAGTATGCGATTCAAAAACAATATAAAATAGTAGTCAAAATGTTCCTGAGGTCGGCCATGCTTTGAGAAGCATCGACTCTCCTCCGTCACCATTCATCGAGAAAGAACCTTCTCTACATCGATGCTTTTAATGAATCAACAGATTGTGTCGTGTTGTTTCCTCTCCTGCAGGGCCGTCGGGCTGCAGACCGGCCTCAGGGCGGTGGTTGGGGTCTGGGTCCCGTGAAGGAACACGGGGTCCTGTTTCAGTGTAAACCTGAGAACTGGACCGACCAGAGGAAGCCTGCTCCCACCATGACTTACTGGGTCATCGGGTTCGTCAGCTTTCACTATTTTTATCCACAAACTGCACCGTTCTCTGCTAAATCCGAGCCTTTTCCTCATGTGCCAATCTTGTTTTTCCAGACGGATGTTGCTCGAGCCCGTCCCTCAGGAGTTCTACGTGTGTTTCCATGACTCGGTGGCAGAAGTTCCCGTAGAGATGGCCTTCAGACTCTCCTTTGGCCTGGCCTTGTGATTACTACATCCGTGACAATGGACTCACACACTACAACGTTTCTTCTTCTGTTCCACTCTCAGGAGAACAAATCAAACTGAGGCGCTTCTTGAAAGAACCCGAGAGCAGGAATTTCATTGCCTCATTGCTCACCATAGATGTGTGCAAGAGTCTGTGTGTAGATGGAAAGCCTCTCAGGTCATGAATACCTCAGACACTTTGGTGTAAACCTCTGCTTAGAGCAGTTAGCAGCTGTAAAGTTTACTAAGCTGGACCAATTAAAACTACGCACGAGTCTCCATGTAGAAGTACAAATAAGGTTGTGTTGATATTGTTACAATTTGTTACCTAATTTAAGATGTACAGTTTTGTATGGAATTTGAGTCAACAAAATTGAGATTAAAGAAGGAATGCAGTTTCTCTTTTATTCTGTAACAACCTTCACACATCTCTAAACATAATTTTACATTATTGACAAAATGATAAATAAACCAAGGAAGTGGAAATAATGGTACTCTTTCTCCCAACTTAACAAAAATGTTAATTTTATGTCTACTAAGGTTTCTAGTTCTGAACATTTAATAATGTACATAATTAAATTGTGGAGCCAGCGTCTCTGCTTGCAAAACCATTATTATGAATATGACAATGTAAAGTCCAAATTACACACATCTGTACAGTGTACATTTTATCAATACGACCACGTGGACGGTACCCACCTTCATCACAGCTCGGCGCAGTAACAAAACTACATTTGCGTCCATTTGTAATTTATTCGTCCCTTTAAAGTTCGAGCAGCAGGTTCCTCTTGTAACACTGGAGGCTGCAGAGAGGAACCCCGGTCTTTGAGCAGCAGTACTTCTTGAGGTTGGTGCAGCCGCTGACCCCGCAGTTCACCGGGGCTGCCGGTGGAGGACGGGGAGCCGTTGGTGCCGGCGGGGGGACCCCCGAGGGGAAGGAGACGGCAATGCCCTGGACGCAGTCGCTGTACCGGATCATGGGACACTGATTCAGCTTGGACTTCCTCTCTCGCATGCTTTTGATCTTGGCCTTGCTGGTTTTCGTCAGTCTCTCTATCGTCTGGTTCTTGCTGTCTTCCGCCTTCTTGGCCGCCTGCAGGCGTCTCTTCCGGGCTCGTTCCTCCCGCTTCTGCATCATCTCTGCGGTCATCTCTTTCTCCTTGTAGCCCATGGGCAGCTCCAGGAGAGGCTGGCTCTGCTGCTTGTGTAGCAGGGCTTTCTGTACATAAACACAAACACTCAGGGATATACGATTATAGCGACATTATGGTGGACTGAAGTACATATGTCCTGCTTCCTCACCTGTCTGGCCGTGAGCAGAGACTCGTCCAACTCCTTCTTCAGCTCCCCGTTGTCGTCGAGCTCTCCCTTCTCCAGAGCGTCCAGCCACCGCTCCTCCTCGTCCTTAGGAACCCCCAGCATGCAGTCTGAGTCTATGTCTGGCATAGGGGATGTGGCCAGGTTACTGTCTTCATCTGATACAGAACAAACATGAATGTGTCGTTTAACCACGGCCAGAACATTGTCTCGACCATGCTACATTAAAAAACACTAATATGAAGTTAACTTGCATTCTTGATTTGAATGAAGGAGAATATTCATTTATCCATTAAAACTTATATTTAGCATTCAGGGGATGTTGTCTTTATTAATATAAATATGTACAACTATTAATGCCATCCATATTAGAGGTGTTTTAGACCGTGTTTAAGTTGTGATATAGTTAATGCTCTTAGATGTATTTTCCCTACTGTTCTAGGGCTCCATTCACTTCCACGCATCAGTGTTTTCCAACTGTTTTGCCATGTGACCACTCTAGATGAAATAAAGTCACCTCCGTGTGGACATGACTGGTACAGAGTGTTTTATGTCTCAGATTGTTGTGTTGGAAATAAAAAATTCAGTATGAACCGACTCAACTTGTTGAGACAGTGTAAACTAAATGATCGAGGGGTGAGAGCAGATAACGTTATCGATTGTTTACATCAGCTCCAACTACATTTAGAAACTCGGTTCTTTTAGATGTAATGAAGCCTTTAAGACCAGGAGAAGGGAACACTACACCTGATGAGGACAAACTACGTCCTGCGTGCCTGTTTCTTTAAAGACTTGCGATTAAATTCTTAAAAAGAAACTAGAAAATGGCTTGAGCGGATGTCTAACACCATATGAACTTACACATCCTAGATGTGGATTCAATTTAGTGAAATGATCTCTGTTGTAACCTCTGGTCACAGAAACCAATGCTTTATCATTACTGCCTGTTTTGTTTGTTACATGTTAATATTACACTTACAGATCTGAATCTTACGTTTACATTTGTGGACACTTAAGTCATGAACACAAACCAAAATGTGTCAATTTCTGCCCATTTTAACTTTACTTAATTCCGTGTTTTATGTGAGCACATGCACTGTATTAGAGAGCAAACGTATTTACTTCATCAAAATAAATTTAAGAGCAGCAGATACAGAAATAGATTTGCATATTAATTTGGATAAAAAATGATTTTCTCTGGCACATTTGGTTTTGTGGTCTTATTTTCTTTCAGTGTAACAGCTTGACACTATGCATTCACTAATAGTTTGACCCATGAATCAAAATCGCAATAACAGAATATAACTTTTCATCAAGCTCCAGTGTAAAGTATCTCAGTATTAAACTATTGTAACTTACCCAGCCAGGCCCGATACTGCTCCAAAGGCACAGAGGGCTCATCATCATCTTCATCGTCGTCATCGTCATCGTCGTCCTCATCATCGACATTATTAATAATCATCAAGGGAGAGGGCGGACAAGCCACACCGGGATGCACGGTGAAGGTGGGAACGCTGTCACAGACAGGAAACAGAAGCGAGTGATTGTTGGTTTAGATGGAAATGAGAGCCGACACGAAGGTTCACTACCAAACGGACCACCTTCAGTGTCCCGCCTCACCTCTTGGTCCCCAGCGTCTGGCCTCCCAGTTTGATCTTGAGGCGGAGCTGTGGAGGAGGACGAGGAACCACGACGGGCTCCGGGAGCTCGGGGAAGCTGTGGTGCTTCCTCTTGTGCTTCTTGTGCTTCTTGTGTTTCCGTTTGTGAACGCTGTGCAGGCTTGAGCCGCCTTCACCTGTAGAGGACGAGAGGAAAGCAAGAAAGCAACACATGAATACAATAAACACTAGATGATGCGATACAGTTAATTTAGATTTACATGCATCAAACATATGTGTGTTTTCTCTCAGAGTGGATCTTTCAAATGTATGAGAGAACCAGTAATTCTGCTGTTTAAACAGGTGTTGACTCAACTGTATGTTGTGCAGTTAGTGATGATGTTAAACTGTATTATACAGGTGAGAGGTGTTTGTTATTCAGCCTACCCTCTAACCTGATGCATACGGGGTGGACAAAATATTAGAAACACCTCTCATCATAACTGCAATACAATAAAACAGCAACCACAACCTTCAAAACGACCATAAAGTTGAACCAACACATAAAACAGCTTCAACATTATAACATGAATGGAGGAATATACTCACCAAGAAACCTGGGGTGAATCATGTCTTTCCTTTTCCCCATTGAAACGACGACGGAGATGTAAAAGCCAAGAACAGGACCGTCAGTCTGCAGCTTCACGTTGCAGCAGACATCTCAACGTTATTTACCTGAGGAGAGAAACACACCTGTTATCTTAACACTGGATGCAGCGTTGATAAGGAAGGAACACGTGGATTTAAGTGCATGTTAATGTTCTGTATCTGGTGTGTTAGCTAAGTCATAACGGCTTATTTATGTTCTATATATTTAGTAAACGATACAGGTTGATTTGAACATGGCCGTTAGCTCTACGTTACCATATTTAGCTTTACGTTACCTTATTTAGCCGAGAGAGCGCTCACGTTCTCTAGCATGCACCCAACGCCTGAACAAAACTCCCATCGAATAAAAACATTCACGTTGAAATAAATAGACGCGACATAAACTGTAAATCTGAGGCAATTTTGAACTGTAACTGATTTTATATGAAGCTCTCGTTACACGGTTTGTCTTGAGTAGCTAGTTAGCTCGACTAAGCTAAGAAAACAACACAGGAGTTCCTCCGCTTCGTCACATCCGGTCATTTTGAGCAGTTACATTCGATTGACTGCCATCTAGTGGAGAACAAATACAGTATATAACCGGCAGTTTTAATCAGTTTTCTTTATTGTGAATGAATCAAACGAGTTATGTGACATCGACTTCAACAAGAAAATGTACAAAATATAAGCGAAGTAAATGAATTGCTAGCTATAAATGTGTTTTTTGATAAACATATTGGGTAATGTAGTTCACGTTACGAAGGCCACAGATGACTACTGTCTTGGCGTTTCAAGAAATACGTTACCCAGAAACCACCGGGGCGCTTCAGCCGAGATACGCAAGGTCAGTCACACAGCTGAATGTGGTCGAGTTAAATCCGGATTTCGTTCAGTATACTTCATGTTAACGTGCTCTTGTCTCACTTTAACACCGTTTATTGTACATTAATCAAACGTTACGGTGCTGCTGCTCTTATCTTCTCAAAGTAGGGATTACAGTTGAGTAACGCAAGCATGTGCAACCCGTTATGAGTTTTTATTTAATAAATTGCAACGTTTTATAATAAACACAAACAAACAGTGTAGAAATTGATATGTGAGGGTTAAATGTTTATGACTTTTATAATTTCGCAGGAATCATGAATTACGCTCGGTTTCTCACCGCTGTGAGCGCAGCTAGAAAGCCCTCCCCTATCCGGATGCTGAGTAAGTTTTTATTTATTACGAGTGCGGTGCATGCAGCTTTCTGCAGAGCACCTGAACTCCATTACCATGTCAGTGAATGTAAGTCTTTAGGGATGCATAATGTCTAACACATGTCAATGTATTTAGCACAAGCAAGTAGACACACAGTAGGAGGCTAAAACTGGGCTATATTTTGATTGCACACACAGAGATGTAGTCATCTAAAACACAATTAATAAATACATTAATTGCCTAAACGTGTATTCCATTTTTCCCGTCTAATCTATTTCTCCACCCGCATGAAGCCGAGCTGCAGCAGCGGTCGCCTCCGTCCCTGATCTCTCTGGCCGGAGGAGCGCCCAACCCCAACACCTTCCCCTTCCAGTCAGCATCCATCAAGGTGAAGAACGGAGCGACGCTCACCTTCGACGAGACGACGATGAAGAGAGCCCTGCAGTACTCTTCCTCTAATGGGTGAGGCATCAACACAAGGAACCCTCGGTACAGAGACACTTTGAGCTACACCAGAACAGTGTGTTCAATTTATTTTGCATCGCCCGAAATCACAAATTTGCCTCGAGGGCTTTACGATCCGTAAACATCGTAAAGGTTATCGTTCTACAAACAGACGTTATCTTTTTTTACAACCTTTGTAAACTCCAAAGCCTCGACTGACTCGCTCCACCTGCAGATTCAATTCAGTGAGAGAGATGTGAGCGTAATCTCCATTCCTACGTAGAGTACCCGAGCTGCTGACGTGGATGAAGAGCCTGCAGAAGGACCTCCACAACCCGCCGACCCAGATGGACATGTGTGTGACCACGGGGAGCCAGGAAGGACTCTGCAAGGTGCCGACTCCACCAGCTGCGGAGCTGCCCTTTACTGCCTCAAGCTGTTTGTGTAGCCAGGGTCAAATGTTAAAAACAAAAGGATCGTATGAAGACGTTATATTCTGTTAAAACATACTTTTTTTTTAAAATTGCTTATAAACATGATTTTGAAAGTGGTTTCAGATGTTTTTGTGTTTTAGGTGTTTGAGATGCTGGTGAACCCCGGAGACAACGTTCTGCTGGATGCACCCACGTATTCAGGCACACTGGCAGCAGTGAGAGCGCTTTCTTTTTACACACACACACACACACACACACACACACACACACACGTACAGTTACTCAACCTTCTGTGACCCTCTCACCTTCTTCGTTCCTCTGTAGCTCCAGCCGCTCGGTTGCAACTTGATCAACGTTCCCAGCGATCAGCACGGCATGATACCCGCAGCCCTGAAGGAGGTTCTGTCTCGGTGGGACCCCTCAGAGGTCCAAAAGCCCGGCAGCACCGCCCCCAAGGTCCTCTACACCATCCCCAACGGAGGAAACCCCACCGGGGCGTCCATGACCACTCAGAGGAAGCAGGAAGTGTACGAGGTTTGTCCCCCCCCCCCCCCCCTCTGCAACGTCACAAAACAAAGACTCATTCATCCCTAGATGCACACACTGCATATGATTTATGAATCATTTTTCTCCCAGTCTTATTTATGCTGACCCTGCTAATTAGAGCTTGTTATGAGGCTGGTTTCCACTAACGTCCTCCCGTCTGTTTAATAGCTGGCCAGGCAGTACGACATGCTCATCATCGAGGACGACCCCTACTACTTCCTGCAGTTTGACAAGGTACAAAGATCACTCACCTCGTTGACGATCCAAACTGATCCACTATTTTTTGATTGATATTGTTATTGTTTGGCAGCCGTGGGCTCCCACGTTTCTCTCCATGGACGTCGACGGGAGGATCATCAGGACAGACTCCTTCTCCAAGATCCTGTCTTCAGGGTGAGCGTGTGTGCGTGCGTGTGTGTCTATCGTTTTAATGTGCTCGTGTAATTCCCCACCGGTCACATCTAAAGACGCCCCTCTCCTCTGCCTCTGGTATACTTGTGGTCGGGGACTGTTTTTTCAGTTTTACACGTTGGCTCCAGTTGAGGTAAATCTTAACTTTGAGCCACATTATGCAGAACTGCACCAGCGTGTCTGTGTGTCTCTGACTGCTTCCCTGTGTGTCTGTGTGTTCCAGGCTGAGGATCGGTTTCGTAACCGGTCCCAAACCGCTGGTGGACCGGGTGGTGCTGCACATCCAGGCCTCGACAATGCACACGAGTACCTTCACGCAGGTGAATGAAACATTAATCCCACACCCCCACTGCTCCGTCAACATCTTGCATTACTGTGTTGAGTAACTTTGTTGTTTATTCCTTTACTTTTATTTATTTTAAACTCCGTTGTCTACATAGCATTGGATGGCTAACATCTTTGATGCTTTCTGTGTGTAATCCTCCATCAACTTGGCATCTAAAAACAAAACAAAAACACAACATAAGATTATTATTACATTACTTCATCGTGCAGCAGTGAGCACACATCAGGGCGGTGCAGTTTTGAAGTCTTTCCAGCTTCTGTTCCCGTTGCTCCGGCACGCTATGTTTGCATAAACTCACCAGCGAGAAGGTGTGTGTGTGTGTGTGTGTGTGTGTGTGTGTGTGTGTGTGTGTGTGGGCACGCTACGGCTGAAGCCAAACAAGACGTTGAGGTGCAGCAGCTACAGAGGAGTTTTAAATGAGGAAGACGAGGGAGATTAATTAGGATCTGCAAAAAGGTCTGCTGTGAGTCAATCCTCAATAACAAACATTTATATGCTCTATCAAGAAAGAAAGGTGTGTCGTGCTCCAACTGCACTGTGCTGATACAAAGGGTAATTTTACAGTCAAATAATGTGGCTTCTTCAGTCTTTGCCAGTCATTACATGACATAACCTGCGTGCTTCCAGCTCATGGTGTCTCAGTTGCTGCACAGCTGGGGCCAAGTGGGTTTCCTCCAACACATAGATGGGTACGTCGCATCCTTGCATGACTGGTTTGACTGGTGAAAGAAAAGCAATTAGGTCCGTTTGTTAACGCCCAGAGTACCAGTAACTCAAGTCATTCACTCAGTTTGTGTTTGCTCTCACAGGGTGATTGAGTTTTACAGGAAACAACGCGACGCCATGATCAGCTCTGCAGACAAGTGGCTCAAAGGTTTGTGAAGAAAGTAAAAAAAAAAAGCAACACATATTTGATGTAAACATGACTGTTGTTAGAGTTTGTGTGTTGTAAAGACGGACATCGGTACAGTTTTCTTGTAGCCGCCACCATTATATGAACTACACGTTAAGTCATTTCCACATTGACGTGTTGATTTATGTCACCACGACATTTATGAAAGTGTAAACTACCTAAATAATCCAGATGTAGTTACAGCGATGAGCTGACAACAAAGACCACAGAACTGAAATCCTGATATGAGTCAGACAGCACACACCCAGGCTTTTCTTCTTTTTCTCCTAATGTGTGTGTGTGTGTGTTAATAGATGTAGCAGAGTGGCACACCCCGTCGGCAGGTATGTTCCTGTGGATCAAACTGAAGGGCATAGGCGATACCCAACAGCTCATCATGCAGAAAGCTTTGGAGAAAGAGGTCAGCACACGTTCTGTTCCCATTGTGTTTCAGTCTAAACCCTCACGTTAATCTCTTCTTGTGGCTTGATACGGAACAAAACCCAATTAACTCTGCCCACTGAAGGTTAACACACACTGTACTATTAATATGCAGGTACCCAGAATGCACTTCTGTGTCTCGCATCAGGCTGGTTGTGTGTCTGAATAGAGTGTAGGATGGTGTATTTAAAGTGGCCATTGTGCGGACTGAGTAGGTTTAGCAACGGAGTGATTTCCTTCACACACACACACACACACACACACACA